TAATAATAAGGCTGTACACCGTTATGGAGACATGAACGTCGACATATTGTCTGTCGCCGTCAGTCCAAGGATGTTTCACTCCTCTGAGATGCCAAAGAAATCTGTACGACTGAAATGATCAAACCCTGTGAGGATCGGGTTAGATGCTTGTCGTAAGAGGGATCGGTTAGTCAGGCTCGTTCCTGCTTGCTTAATAAATGCTATCGCATTCCAACTGTGTAGATCAATGCTTTTGATGTCAAACACTGGGTTGTCTTGTCTAGGCTTGATTACTTACAGACCGATGTTGTATAGCTGGAAACGTGATGGTGTTAAACAATAAACTAACAAAACAAAGCTACGATTATGACCGAAACATGTGCTTTCAAAGGAAAATAGTACTTTAGCTTCATAATATCTAACTGTGTTCTATATGTTAATGTAAGCATGTTATATCTATGTAACTTCACTCTGTGCAATGACGAAGCATTTCGATTTTGACGGGCAGTAATAATTAGATGTATCGGAGCAAGATTCTACGCCGCTTTAAGCAGTATTGGAGCAATATCACTGCGAGAGACATCTGAAATAGGCTTCACACATTGTAGTCATGGGCGGGAATCGAACCGGGGTATTCGGCGTGACATGAGAATGCTTTAAGCACTAGGCGACAGCCGGAGCCCAGACATGTAAAAATCGCCGTGTTTGATGCAATTGATATTTTCTAGAGTAAGGTGTGGCAGTTGAGCATGTCCCTTGCGAACATAAATAATGTTAATATGCATACATTAGTAACATAAGAATTAATCCACCCGCCTACATGTACCGTACAAATGACACAATATACAATGGTGGATACAAGAGTGAGAGAGTTATGATTTTAAGTCAGATCGGCAATATTTCCGCCACATAATGACCAAAATAATTTATACATTCATAACACTTAGATTATAAGAGTTAAATTATTAAACAACTCTGTCAACAAAGAACAGTAAAAACTACTAGAATATCATAAATATAGATGTAAAACACATATGTAAATCGAAAACATTTTAACTGTTGAAGAAAATGCAATATAAAGTATTGGGAACTAACCAAGTCAGTCTAGCGTACATCACTACTCTTCAGCACAATCGATAATTATGAACACAGCAGAACTAACACCAAATATACACAAGGGAAGCTGAATAAGTAACAGACGGTGGCGCGTTGAACAGCGAACGAGGAAACTGTTTGTTATCTGTTTCGTTTTTACGTATTATTTAACATTAACGACTGATCTCATTTATTTCAAGGATATATCTGGTGGCGTAAATTTGGCTGCTGGCTATCTCTAGTCCTGTTTCAATATCAGATTGTCGTGGCCACATCAATGGTTTTAGATATAGAACTATGATATGCTCGTTGGTATACTTTCCAGCAACGGAAAGTTAGCAAATGATGTTTGCTGGCCACGATAAAGCCAACCCACCAGCTGACCATCTCAGTGAGATGGGAGATTCAGAACCCGAGGAAATATATACGTACTTCATTAATGGCTTTGCAGAAAAAAGGTCGGCAGGAGGGAAAATAATGTGGTTTAGGGATTGTTAGACAGAACCAAGTCTACATAATAATGAGGTCTTTTCAGGCTTTGTTACCAGGTGCGTTTCGGGGTACTTGTTAACAAGTAGAGTTGCCGGTCTGGATTTGATTACGTTCATTGTCGAAACGTTGGATAACACCATTCAGGATTCGAGGCTTGTTTAAACCGTTTTAGGGGTAACGTCCGACTGAAACATGGACATAAATTATGGTCATGTCAAGTTGAGATAAGTACCATATGAACAAACTGTCTTCGGTGAATCTCAGCCTATTTCAGGGTGTCGAGGAGCAGGTATTATCTAGATGTGAATGGCGCAGCACCTCATTGGACAGAGTTGCCGCCCTTGTTCGTACCAGGAACCGAAGCTCATGGTTTACATCCCCAAGCTTATCAGCGGATATAACCAACGTGATGAAAGTCTCATGCCAGCATTACTCTGGGACCTCCTCCTGTATAATGCCACCGCCGTGATACCAGGAATACTGTTCAATGGGCATCAAACTCACTCACTCACTCACTCACTCGCTTTATGGAATTATTCGTTGAATATAATCCCACTTTAGCGCTGGACAAGTAGGTTACCTATAGTAGCAGGGCGTGGACCAAAACCGTACATGACACCCTCACCTTGTCAGCCTGCTGACAGGAAATCCACTTTGGCCATATGGACAAAGAACCTGACTAGGGTCTGAGGCTCGAATCCTACTGGAGCGAGTGAGTGAGTTAAACTTCGAGTGAGCCACATCGGCAATATTTCAGCTATATCGTGACTAAAACATGTCATACCTAAATAATGTATATAATGTTATATTATGAAGTCTGTCGCCAAAGGACGAATCCTACCATGAACCCTTGCACGTTGATATAATAACATTTGGGCTGAATAGGTCTATGTGGCCCGTTGACGGGAGAATAATTTCATCGACTACATCCTTAGTTGCCTTGTCAACTTCTGAAACTGGAATAACCTCGATGATCATATGGGCAAAGCGTTCAGAAAGTTTGTTTTTTCGTTTGCAATCCGGTTACATGATGGAAATAGTATAACCGCTACACGAACCACTGATTGTACATGGCACTATGTGCTGTCACAACACCCAGGACTCACTCACTAGTGCTATCAACAGCTGAGTACATGTATCCCAGTTATGCTCATCTAGTGAGCAGCACAAGACCGTCTCACACTGCTGACTACAATAATTATGTGATAAAAAGTTATGCTATGCAGATTGCGGTATTGCAAAAATGATAGGATTTGTTAATTGAATTACAGCTGTTGTCATGTTTCATCACTCTTGTCTGTACCTCGTAAAGCCTGTTATGTGAGTGAAAATCCATCTGCAATCAGCTCTGTATGTCATAGGGGCGGGTAGCCTTGTGGTTAACGCGTTCGCTCGTCACGCAGTCGACTCGGGTTTGATTCCCCACGTGGGTAATTCCCAATGTATGAAGCCCATTTGTGGTGTCCCCGCCGCGACATTGCTGTAATATTGCTAAAAGCGGCGTAAAACTTTAACTCACTCACACACTTTATACCATTGATGTATTTCATATTTTGTTTCAACGTTTTGGGACACTAATGAGTGTAGCCTGTGTGTGAATGAGAGACGGGCAGTGCGATGAGTTGGGTGTTAGTATGAGAAAGGGACAGTAATTGGTGTATTCCCCGTTAAGATCTTTAGCAACCCATACTAGCAGTAAGGTTTCATTAATGGAATCGTGTGGCCAGGCTCGCTGGATTGGTTGATGTCATCGTATGACACATGCTGTCAATCATTGGATTGTCTAGTCCAGACTCGATTGTTTACAGACCGTAGTCACATAGCTTGGCAATTATTGAGTGCTGTCATAATATTAAACAGCATTCCAAATACTTCATAATCTTTACAGATTCATTGTCTTGCCTTCAAGCACTTCAAAATGTCACTTCCAGTCGCCCTATCATCCTGGACATTTTTTAGAACTTTACAAAGATATTGCTCTGCTTAACTCACTCACTCACTCAAAATGCAATGAGACATCGTCTTCCTATGGTTACCGGGTCACGTAGGCATAGCGGGTTACACACAAGCCGATGCTGCAGCTAAATCAAACCGTTTTTCTCACTGCTGATCTCGTAAAGTGACTTCAAACCCACTATCAAAGTTACAAAAAACCCTTCACGAACTGAAATTATTAATCCGGTATACCTGCTTGAGTTGTCAGTCAAGACATGATCAGGTAATTTACGACGACGTCGTATTGGCCACAGTAGGCTTACTCATGGCTATCTGCTGGACCTCCTGCTGGAGATGGACCTCCTAGGTGTGTCTCTAAGGATGAAGTGTTCACCATCAAGCATATTCTCTTTGACTGTAGTGACTTCAACTGCAAGGGACTCGCACTATCAAGCAATAGGTCTGAATGACCTGTTTACATGCGTCAACGGGCATCTCATATTTTGTCTTCCACTCGAATGAAACTTAAAATGTTTTTCCTGAAATTTATGAATCAATTATTCCATCTCTCAGAATAGATATTATAGTGAAACGCTGCTTCAACTTTCTCAATAGAGGATTTTGGTATGATAATAATAGTCCATTTATATTGCGCATTTATCCATGCACATTGCATGCTCAAAGCGCTGACATATTACCCCTGTTCAACGAGTACAGAACACTCCCTGTGGAGAATACAACCGGTCGCCTGTGAGGTGCTCAAGGTTTAAATTCAGACTACCATCGTATCATACCCGGTACCCAAATTAGTGCTGGTGAACAGAGGCAATTTTGAACAAACTCACTTGTCTAAGGTGAGACCACATGTATCATATATGTTTCGTTGTGGGGCAGGACTGAAGTCCTAGAAACTCTCAGGAGGAAAGCTGCCAAACACGGCCGCCCATCCGAGGACTCTCCGCGCCCAGCATTGCTTAAATTCATCTGATTGTGACCAGAGATCTGCCCACAGGACGACACACCGCAACGTTCAATCCAACCTGTGTCCAAGTTCTAATGTACCATATGATAATTTCTTTCTGTATATAATTAAGTTTTACTATATCCTCCTCATCTACATCAAACGTTATTCTTAACAATATAAATCTTTGGGAGCAATCGAAGTTCATTCAGTACAGAGCTGACATCATGCCCTCTTTTTATCCTTCCCTTTTCAGTTTTGTTTTTCGCTATGCTTAACCTGCAATGCAGAACACCGTTCAAAGCGATCCATAATCATCATAACTGCATGATTACATGTTCCTGAGTAATCCAATGTAAACCCAGTCTCATCTTCAAAGCGGGACGTGTGCTCACCATTGCTAAAACGTTAATACCTTGGTCTCTTTTTATTATCATTAATGCAATCGCCACCTGTAATGTGGAAATCATACAAGTGTGAATCATGCAATATTCATTATATGTTCAAACCACATTAATCTTGCTATTGTACACGACTATGTAAGGCTCGAATACAAAATCAGCATACAGTTGGGGAGACGTTGTTATTCGTGTTCGTGAAAAGCAACGCACATAATGAAACACGCTCACAGGGTCAAGTTGGGTGTTTGGAGGTCGTAGATGTGAGTACACATACTTGTTTGGGGTTACGTATTCTTATAAGGTTGATGTTTCATGAAAAACCTTTGTTAGTAATTCTATAGCTAAAGGGTTTTTCGGACTCGGTGGTAAATATAACCTCTTAACTGATCATAGTTTTCCCGATTTTCCAAGTTTTTTACGGTCAATGGATCCATTTAACTTCATAAGTTTAAAAACGTCTTATATATGTGGTGCTGCTCCTTACATTTGTCTAAAATGCATGGCGTCCTTATCTCAAAAACGTATTGCTTGATATAGAGCTAATGATAAACCACGTTAACAAGTGATGATTCAGGTTACACATTTCTTCAGCAACACATCCTTGTCTTAAGTAGGCGACTAACTGGTCAGTCTCACTGTTTGGTTGATGGATGTCATCATTTCTTCGTAACATATTTGCATAGATCTACCGAACATCGATGCACATGTTGTCAGTAACTTGATTTTAATCTCCTCGATTATTTACAGACTGTTCTCATAAAGTTTGAGCATTACTAACTGTGGCTTCTAACCATACAACAAGAACCTTTTATTACCCACGTGGTCAACGAATGGGTAGTTGCATACTAATCTCGTATGTCACACGAGTGTCGTATCGCGTTGACCTGTGTCGTAACGACTTGACCTGAGATTCTAACGATTTGATTGGATAACCGATGACCTCTCAATTAGGTCACATTCTGACGTAACAATTTTTTCATTCATAACAAACACGTGAATTCATTCATTCTACAACTTACATGCATTGTGGGAATGTAAACATTGCGAACATTGCCGTGTTGCTGTTAATTTGTGAGTCGAACTGAGACATTATATCCGTCGAAAAACATAAACGCAATGTTTCCACCAGTGATGTTAGCCGAATGAAGCAACTGGAAACCAAGAAACGAGGTGCTACGGAGTTTACTGTAGGAGGCTGTACGAGGCGATGACAACTGACATGCATCGTGACGTCGGTTACCAAGGCAGTGACGTCATTACAGTGTGACGTCATGCAAATATTGTACTACAGTACAAAACTCTTCCGCAACCTCTTTATGAAACCGGTTTCGGTTTGAAACCAAAAACATAACAAAAATACGCTATTTTGTCAATTCAATGCATGTAAGACGTGGGTAATAAATAAAATACCACACTCGGTCTCATTACATACGAATTATACGAAACTCGTGACCTTCCTATAATATCTGACCTCACTTTCGCTCGGTCAGATACCATAGGAACGACACTCGTTTCGTATAATTCGTATGTAATGAGACCACGTGTAGTATTCTCAATATACCTTATATGAAGATGTTACAATGGCCTCAAACATTGAAGAACAGAACGGAGTGTCGCCATAACACTGTGGCATTGCTGAGTGCTACGTTAAACAACAAAGAAACCTATAATTGTAATCAAGACGTTCAGATGCGCTCCCAAATTTAGAGACAGAAGAGACCGCTGTCATAAATCTGTACCATTTTTTTATCTACCATCTTTATTTCCACAGTGCAATATATGTAGAATACATTCACAATATACATATTTTTATACTCAATATACTTTCACAAATCACCATCCTACAATGAATAGATATCTTTGAATATGTTTGCATTCTTTATCTCTGTGTATCCAATAGAGGTCATCATGGTAATAATGATTGAATACACTTAGAATATGTTTTCTGACCAAATATTATCAGTAAACAGATTGTGGAAGGATGACCAGAAGGTGAATAACTCGCTGTTATTGCATGTAGAGTAAGCATTATATTTTGTAATTTCATAATATTTTGATATCTCCCTTACTACATGCTTGAAATTTGGAACTTGTTGTTTTATTTTTTGTGTATATATTATCTGTTTCACAACAAGACATATTGCATTTAAAGAATTATTATTTTCCCCTTTAAATCCAAGTAAAATGTTTTCTGTTGTAAAGTCGATGTTGCCTTCAGCTACAGTCATTAGCCATTAAATCTGTGACATTGCTCAACGTTACGCTAAACAACAAACACACTGTTAGCAGGGATCAAGACGTTTACACGTGGATTACATGGAAGAACAGAACATGTACTCATGGGTCGTGGTTGGTGCTTCATTTGCGGCGTTGCTGTTTGGCCCCAGCATCAACTACGCAGTTGGTGTATTCTATGTTGCACTGCTGAATGAATTCAACGAGGACATCACACTGACAGCCTGGCTGGGCGCCCTCTTTTCCTGCATGTTTGCTTTAACAGGTAGGAGGAAATTTACACACGAGCATTAACCAAGCATCACTTACGGTTTCATACAGAAAGAACGAAATAAAAATATTTTACTAAAACAGAAATAAAAATTTGGTAACAATGTATTTACAATGCGAGGGGATGTACGCAAAGAACACTCAGTTTAACATCTCAAATCAGTTGAAGTTTGAGTCAATTGCTATATGTTTAAATGTTAAGACATTTGTGCAAATGGCACTGGTATAAGGGGTGAAATACTTGCACTGTTTAGTTAAATGTTTATATCAGTGAAGAGGAAGACTCTAGTGCACACACTACAGATATTGAATTTACATACCAGTGTGCTTGACCATCCTGCAACAGGCTCAATAACACAGCAAAAGTAACAAGGTTTCCAGTTTTCCGGAAACCTACCTGAAACTGGGTAATGTGAGAATCATGTTGGTTTCCGCTCACGGAAACTATAATTGTTGGTTTCCGGCTGTTTCCTTTTCGCTGAAACTAGCAGGGTTAGTTTCAGCGACTGGAAACTGCAGGAAACCAACAAGGTTAGTTTCAGCGACTGGAAACTGCCGGAAACCAACAAAGTTAGTTTCCAGAAATGGAAACTTACAGTAAAGTATCATTGGTAGTTGCCATTGCATAAAGCAACTGGAAACCATCATTGATGGGAACCTGAATGAAACGAACGTAGAGGAATTTCTTTGACTCAATATATACCAGTGTATACAGCATATATCCAGAAACCTACATTAACCTACTTTAAACTGTCTATGTATTATATGTATATATAAGTGCAGTGAACTAGAGTATGATCGCCTGTTTGAAGAGAAGTGTTTAAAATTGCCCTTGGATTCAAGTGCTCCTCTGTCTCTCTCTTGTTATTGTTGAGAAGAAAGAAAACTAGAATTTATTACACACTGTAAATACATACATCCATAAACGTAACAAACAGTGATACTTAAAACTCAATTCATGAACCATAAGTGTGCATGTTTGTACATTAAACACGCGGTTTTCTTGCAGCTAAAACATCAATGATGAAGCGTATGGAAATCTATCAGGTGTGGAAATTTTGACTTAAAGCATCTCATTGACCAACTGGAATTGAATAGTTGCAGCATGATAATTGTACGCCAAGTGGTTTCATTTTACATCTTTTGAATCGGAGGACCAGCTAAATATAATTTCTTGTTATGTATGGAAGCATGTATTGTGACATGCCTTTTTTATTGATAGTTCTCATAACTACCTAGCTGTTGTTGAGCTGTCACGTATCTGGGTTGCCTAAGCTACGTGTAGACTTTCGCATACCTAACTAATAAGTTCACCTGACATTTGTACCTGCAAGAACTCAATGTAAGACCAACGATCAACAAAGAAGGTTATACAGTTAAAAGTGGTAATCTAATTATTGACACCTGTGGAAGTAGAAAATTCACGGCAGTACAAATACAAAAACACTGTTAAGAACAGAAAAGCCAGCGCTTACACCCTTATCTGATCTAAAAAGCTTTCCAGAACGTTTGACACTGTGCTGAAGTATTCAATTTTTGTTACTTAAAATAGGAGGAAATTTAGACATGAGCATTAACCAAACACCACTTACGTTTTCATAAAGAAAAGTACGAGAATGAAAATATTTTATCAAAACCAAAATTAAAATTTGGTAACAATTTCCTTGCATTGTGAGGGGATGTATGCACACAACACTGAGTTACTATTCCAGAACACACCTGGTTCTAACGGCAATGAAAGGGGTTTGTGGTTGTTAAACTGAGAGGCAATCACTGTTTCGAAATACATTAAAGGCTGACTTGCAAACTGAAATATACAATTTTGATTTTTTTATTACTACTTTCACGTTCATTGTGATTGTATTATTGATATAAGGCTGAGATATTGCAGATGTTCTAATGTTCTTATTCTGTTTCAGGTCCAGTTGCCAGTTTGATCATCAATGTGTCCGACTGTAGAACGTGTGTGGTGATGTCAGGAGCTTTCATGATGATTGGTTTCTCAACCAGCTTTCTGGTGACTAACATGAAGCTGCTGTTCATAACCTACGCCTTAATAGCAGGTAGATACACAATGTAATTGTTACGGCTTGATTCGGAAAGACTGCCCTTAGCTTTGCATCATTCCATAGTCAACTTCCATAGATTTCACTACATTGTCACTGTTCACAGGAAAGGTATTTTATGGCTTATTATAGGTTGTGGAGCCGTTCTATAAAACAGACTCTCCTCGTTTTCAAGATATCCATCGTCAACAGGCCATACTTACTAATTTCGCAAATACTGGTGTCAGAGCATAGGCCCTCGTGTCTTGGCGAGGATTAAAGATGAAAAATATTGTTTTGTGCGGATACATCGTCATCCATTTGTGTAAAGATCGTTTAGTTGAGAGTCAAAATCGGGTTTCTATCGACTTGCAGAAATAACAATAAAGAATTGGTAGGTGTCATGAGTGGTGCTCGATAGTCCATTAATCCACGATTATGTTTACATTAAGTTTTAAACGATTGCATGCGACGGTAGCGATCGGCAAAGCAGCCGAGTGGGGTGCACCGAAATGTCCGACCTTGTCATGATGTATTGTTCTGTGAAGCTCTTTGAGTCGGGGGGTCATCTCATATTTTTATATCTTTTCTTTAAATCTTTAAACCTCGCAAAGACACAGGGGCCTGTGTGTCAGGGCTGATTAAGGTGACATATTCAACTTCATATATAGTTTGCCTTCTGGTTCGTCGGATCATCACTATCTATCGACATTTGATCATGCAAAAAGGGAACACGGTTGAAGTAAGTCTTGTGCAGATATGAGATCTTAAGTCAGGAAAGCCATGTTTTTCAAGAACGATATGGCTTTGCAGGCCTCCGGTTTCCCCAAAATGGATAACGACAGGTATCTTTGGGTTTTATGCTCTGTTCAGTTTACACGCATTGATACAACTGACATGGTTCTTAAAGTGAATTTAAACACAGCTTTCGAACCCACCAATACTCGATTATATGTATTGTTTGTATATATCGACAATAGATAAGCTCCGTGAAACGTGAGAGAAAAGTAACGCAATTTTCTTTTATCGCTTCAGGTCTTGGCACTGGTCTGGCACAAACCGGCAGTTCAGTCATACTTGGATACTACTTCCCAAAGAAAGCTGGCTTAGCTACGGGAATATCATGTTCTGGGGTAGGACTAGGTATATTCATACACCCCCCACTTGTTCAGTATCTATTGGAATCCTACGGGTTCCATGGGACCTTTCTTATCGCTGGTGGAATCACATTTCACGTATGTGTTGCGGGGATGCTAATGCGACCAACACAATTTGAAAGAAGAAAGCAACACACAGCTGTGACGACACAATCTAGATGGACAATGTGTGGCGACATATGTAGACTTTACAGCGTCTTGAGCAATGTATCATTTCTATTTTTTCTATTAAGTCTTTTGTGTTTTTCAATTGCTGTGTCAACGGAATATCTTTTCCTGCCGGATTTCTTCATAAAACAGGGATCTACATTCCAGGAAGGGGCATTTGTTATATCAGTTTCAGGCATAGGAAGTACTGCCTCCCGTGTCCTCGTCGGACTGGCGCTGAGTGATGAGAGGATTGAAAGCGCCACAGTGTATTCCTCGCTGCATGGTATTATGGCAGGTTTCACACTGATATTGCCGTTCCTCCAGACATCTCCCTATCTACGAATATTGTACGGCTTAATCCTTGGACTGTACACTGGGGGCGCGTGGGTGCTTGTGACCACTTTAACACTTGAGATTCTTGGCGTTGGGGACTTTGCTGCAGGATTAGGTGTTGGTTTGTTTTCCTGTGGAACTGGGTATTTAATAGGACCTCCTATTGCAGGTACAGTCACATAGGCAATAATTAGTTGTAGATACTGTAAAGTATTTACAACATGAGCGACACTGTCCATGTTTCTCGTCGCATTTTGCGGCAGAGCTTATAATTTCAGATCAAGTCTTTGATATTTTGGGGGCAAGAAAACCCAACTTGTTTTTAAATTTCTTAAGATTTACGTCACAACTTGATACACAAACAAAATGAAATATGGGATTGCATGTCCAAAGCATTTAAGGATAACATAGAAAAGATCAGAGTTTAGAGGCATGTCGTCAGTAAAACGACATAATCAACTGGGTAGACATTAAATGAATAAAAGTTCTGATAGGGTTTTGGTTCTACATCAGTTTCATTAGTTTGTTTCCCTATAGAATAACGCTCCACAAGGAGATTTTCTGGGACAAGTCTCATCTGTTTCAGGAACGTTATTGGAAAGTGAGTATTAATAATTTTGATAGGGTTTTGGTCTCCAGTTCTACTGCTTTAGTTTGTTTCTCTCTTGATTAACATCCCAGGAGGCAATATTCTGATACGTGTCTCATCTGTTTCAGGAGCGTTATTGCAAGCAAGTGGGTATTACCACAGCGTTTTCATCTTTGCCGGTATGTTACTAAAGTGTCTGAAACTTCTTAAAGCTATAAAACAAAACAGTGTCTTTCAAATGATGTGTGTATTATCAGATCAATAGAAGACGCAATGAAAGCAGTCGTGCATTTTTGCCTGTTTTTCTTTTCTCATACGATCCACACAACCAGGACCACCATACAGATGGAATATTGCTGAATGCTCCGTTAAGCAGCAAACAAACATAATCTTCCAAAGAACAAATTAAAAGAAAAATTACTTCGTTTAAAAAATCCTTTTATCAGAACAAAGACAGTTAACTCGTCAGTAACTACAGGGGTTGTAGTAAAGAGTAAATGTATACCAGAGAGGTATTGTAGCCGCATTGATGAACTGGATATAACTACGCAGGTATTTCATACTCATGTCATAGGGACACTATCTCCTTCTTCTGTCAATATCGTTAGTAGACCACCAAGTCGTCTCCTCGTGCTCTAGATAAGACACCTTTTCCTCAACTGGGGAATCTGTTGCTATTCCTCATGCAAAGACCGGGTCAGGTCAGGAAGATTCTGTGGTGGAGGGTCCAATGCTGTCACTCTAGGTCCAAAACAATCCTGTAGCTGTTGTAAGGCAATGTCTCATTGTTTCGAGGATAATACGTCACTGCTCGTGCCCGTTTGGATCAAGTGTTGTGAACACAAGACACAAAGACAGTTGATGATTATCAACGTGGCACAATGTAACCGTCGAATATGGTATCTAGTCCATTGTATTATGTATTTTCGTTCAAAGAAATTGGAGATTAGCAACAGTATACATTTTCTTAAACCACTCACTACACTTGATGTAAAATACAATGTTTCCAATTTTTCCCATCGTCCCATTGGTGGCCATCTTGGATTTCAAAATGGCCGCCACATTCAATAATGTGCCACCCTTTCTTTCACTTTTAAGTACAATTCTTGTTCTATTTTCAGTATATATTTGAAGCTTTTATGCTGTTAAGGATTACTTGTATACACCCCAGTATCAAAGATACTGTTACTGTGTATACATGAAGGGGAAATGTGTTATTATATACAAAATTTAAACCTTACATATTTCATATCAGCTATTTGTGATATATATCTATACACTGAACTCTCAGACACTTGTATATTGTTATACTTATTTTGCTCTGTATAAAACAAGAATATTATGAATGATATGATAACCACATTAGCTGTTAAAAATCAATGAAACTACTAACTTGTTGATCAGTGGTGTAAGCGTAGGAACAGGTTGAAGATGAATTTCCACAATGTCACAGAATTGATAGGTTAATGTCTATCCTCAGAATATTCAGACAGTATAAGCACCAGCAAGTCATCAATATCATCGTGATTTCCATTTCAGACATGTAATCATATCTCCAATAGAAAGGTTGTCATTAATGATGAAAATAAATATCCACAATGCCACCGAAAGGAGAGGTCTTTCACACCCATCAAAAGATATATTTACAGCAGTTCATCAAAATTATCATCAGGAACTGTTTCCTCCACTTGAGACTCTTCATTCTCACACTGATTACTGCATTGACAAAGTTTAGTACATGGTAAGTCCTTTGATTTGCATGTACACCGCTGAGTTGAACAGTCTGTCTTGCACTGGCATCGAACCATCTCGAGAATAGCCTGGGGAGCTGGCAGAACATCTGTGGTGACTGGTCTAAGCTGAGCATCCTTATCCCTATGAAACCCGTATCTCCTTGGGTCCAAGAAGACTTGTTTGGCAACATGAACTTGAGCCCATACCCATTTCAAGGCACCAAATGTTGGAGGGAGCCTATCACTTTCAGCCATGTGCTTGCAAAAGATTCTTCATCAAGATTTTCTCTACAACACAGCAGGTGCAAAGCTTCAACAGTGTCTCCGGTGGCTCTTAGAAACGTCTTAAACCAAGTTGTCGTCCCAATGCGAGAAAATCTACCTGTGTTATCAGCTCCAGAAAAGACATGGAAGGCTGGCAGAGCCTTCGCGTTTTCAACCCCAAGTGATTTCCATATAGGCTGTATTTGTACTTCACCTGATGCCATGCAGATAGATGTCTTTTGCTGAGATGCACAGATGGCTTGGTAGATCATCAGTGTGTCACCCTCTTCATGGTTGTTTGACTCAAAGTTGATGCTGCTGTTACTTCTTGTGTTACCCGATGCTGAGGTGATGAAGAGCTTTGATAAATCCTTGCTGTACTCCATGGTCTTTGTTGCTAGGTACTCTGCAAGGTCATCCTTGGTTTGGTCATGAGATAAGAATCGCTTCAATGTGATGTGCTTGATTCTTGTTTCATCAGTTATTTGGTACTGGACTGGGTCCTTGCCATGACGTCTTTTTTCCCTTGTTGACCATTTAAGTGAATCAGGTTTATAGGTATCAAACACAAGAATGACGTCATCAAATTCTCTTGTAAGGCTCATCAGTCGGTTATTGAAGCAATGACTTAGATCCTTTACTGTCTCCACTGCAGGAGGTAACTGTCATTTTCTGAAGAAGAACCATACCATCAACTACAGCAATCCTATACACTGCAGAGTCAATTTCGTCAAGTTGAGCGGCCATTTCTGGATCACTGATCATCTGACTTTTACCCAATTCCTCAAGGCAACTGATGAGTTTTGACTTGTCTGTACATTGTAACAACATGCCATCCGGGGAAAAGAATGCTCTTGGTGTCAGTGTCAATTCATAGTTCCCTACAGCATGTTTCAGGTCAATATCGCGGCTTGATCTGGCTAAAATCATCAGCCGTCCATACAAGTCCTTTGTTTCTTTCAGGTCCACAATCTTGTCTCGAAGTTTCACTGTTTGTTTCTTGCTGTCAGACATGTAAAGATGGTTGTTTTCCTTCTTCACTGGAGCCCAAAGGCTGACTGTTCCATTGCTTCTTTCTGCCACATATTCTTCATACAACTTTTGCCCGGTCTCGTCTATGTTGAGTATCTGAGAGACATACTGATCTTGAATATATGCATGTTATCAGATTCTGCAGCTTGTCCCCTTCAACAGTAAAAGGATTCCCATGACTCAGGATAGCATTCTTGATTTTGTCAACTGCAATATGGTCCCGCTGGATAACACCTGGTGAAAGGTCATGATGCTCCTTGACTTAAGCTGCTTCAAAATCAAACTGACTTTTGAACTCATTTGCTAAGCGTGACAACTCAGGTGCTGCCAGAAAAAAAAACGCTGTCTTCCATTTGCATTCCGTGATATGCCAACGAGACCAGAGTGTACCTTTATTAGTCTGTTCAGTTGTTTACATGCATGATCAGCTCCAATGGACACAAAGGGGATAACTTTCTTCGAAACTGATATATTTCCATTAGCCAGCTCATTCCATGTGTATGGATCCTTTGACCTCAGTGCATACATATCTGCTAAGTATCTGGGCCACAGTCTTTTGTATTTGATCCGATCCATTGCAAAAAAAGAGTTTGCTTAGTTCTTCACCAGCCTCTAGATGCAACCTAAGATCTGCATGGCTTGATGCAGCTATGAAAAAGAGAATGTCTTCAACACGGTGTAAGTAGTTCATCATTGTCTTGAACATGGCATGTTTGCACATCTCTTGCTCCCAGGACTGAAATTTGGTCATTAGATCATCCATGGCAATTTGTCTAAGCAGCTTGGAATTTGCATACTTCACGGATTCTGCCTTTTCACTTTTGTCAACTACATTACAGGCTCTGACAATTTCCTTGGAGTAGACCACTTGCAGCCCAGGATTATTCCCTGAAAAACTCCTCAAGTGCTGACTCATACAGTGCAGTGTAAGAGTACAGATGAGCTCGGAGGCAGCGTTTGTAGTGGATACATTTTAGTATCTGTCGTGTTGTTGTTGGACCAAAAACATCAGCTTCCATCCAGTCATCATCAATTCCAGAATTTTCAATAGATGTACCAAGAGCTCTTAGAGCAGCCATAACAACATGCAACTCACCAAGCCTGGGCACAAACTGTCTTTTCAAGTAAGGACGGGAATCCAAAAGTTTAACAACTTTCTCGTATAGAGCCATGTCGAATGATATAACAGTTGGGTGATCTTTTCCAATTGCCAGTTCTTTCAGATTCTGAGCCTGTATCATTACTGTCAGTAGTGTTGACCATTCGTGTGCGACTTCAGGGAGTAATGGCAAAGCACCCACTTGAGTCATTGTCTTGCATTCAGACAGCAAAGAATTGTATGCAGCCCAGCCTGGAATCGTGTTAGCTTCTCTCTCTTCCCTCATTCTGGACATCACTGATGCTACTTTCCATGCAAAGTGTGTCAAGTAATAGCCTTTAGAAATACCATCTCTATTGAAGTCCAGTTTTTTCCCATTTGTTGATAACTGTGATGTGGTTTTCAAGTCTGGTTTTCTGCAGGGGATCAGCTTTGTATGATAGGGAGCAACTCTAAGATTTTGGCCTTCCTGTATGGCCAGGGGTTGGGATATCAGTTCTCCTGAGGCATCAGCCTTCTGGTAGACAGCAGTCACAGTTCCATGTGTCGTTCCCTTTCCATCAGGTGTGTCTTCTGCAAAGTCTATGTTGTCAACAGCAAAGAAGACAAATTAACCTTTCCGAAGAAATGGTGGAACGTATAAACCGTTGAAGTGTCTTGTATTTTTAACTACAGCATTGGCAAGTGAAGTTTCTAGAAGGAGAGCACGCCTGTAAGGAATGCAGTAGTTGTGGGCACTGAGGAGATCCATGATCATCTTCTTTCTTGTGTTGTAGTGAACTGCAAGGGCTAATCCAAGCACCTGAGCATTTTCCTTTCCACGTAATCGAAATGCTCCAGATTCTCTTTGCTGTTTATATTTTACCTGTCTTCTGGATTTGACACCATACATGATATTTTGGCAGATTGTAAGTACACTTCTATCAACAGTACTAGTCTTTTCTTCACTGCTGAAGTCAAGTTTTGTTCCAGCCATTATGCAACGAATGAGAGAGTAGAGTTCAGAAGGAACATCATCTACAGTACTTGTAACTTGCATAGAAACGTTGCCGTTATCTTCTTTCTGAAAGGCCTAAATGCTCTTGCGTACCAGCTTGGCAGATTGGTATATGTGTTTCATATTTTCCATGCTGTTGTCTCTCTCAATAGCAGTATGGACCTTTTCGTCCTCACAAGCAGTTGGTGAATACAGCACAGCAGGTTTCCGGCTGTCTTGTTGAAGGACAGATTTCACATTGGGCAGCTCGGAAAAGACCTTTTCCTTCAGCCACTGCCTTGTGTAGGTAGGCACATGCTTGTCCAATGTTTTAACCCCTCCAAGCATAGAGATAAATGTTTTCTCAATTTCCTCTGGTGATAAAAAAGCCTTGTTTGCTGTTTGCTGGTCCAGCAAATCAATCAATTCAGTTATACATGCAGTTTGAACTGGATGCTTACTTTCCTTGTTTTCCTTGCTGGTTTCCTGGCGTAGGACATGGAAAACATGGTTGGTCCAACAAGTCTTGTGATATCGGACATCAATGTGCATCAGTTGGAGAAATGGTAGAGTTTAATCTTGTTTTCAGAAAAGGATTTCTTGAAATCTCAATTGTATCTCTGAGGGTTGAGACAGCTTTTTCTGTCCTGACCTTGAAAAGCTGCTGTTGATCATCCTGTTGACAGATGAAACAAAGATTGTTGTCAAATGGAGATGTTGATGATCTTGTGAAAGGCATTGCTGAACACTCAAGCTCACTTTCGTGTTCAAACCCCTTTCTTTTTCTTCCCCTCTTGCTGCATACGATTTGTTAAAAATCCTGAGTTTTATGCTTTCTATTCCTGGCACGTTGTATTTGGTCTTTATTTGTTGCATTAGAATAGCAGCTTCTGTGCCAAACAGCCTTGTGTAATACAAGTGTCTCCTTTGTGCAACCTTCAAGTCTCTGGCAGATATCAACGTACGGTCCATCTCTTAAAGTAGCACGCTCATGTATGATTTCCAACAAATTGTCATAAGATTCCAATCTTGGTTGTGATACAAGAGGGAGTTTGATTTTGTCACTGGTAGCATTTTGACATAAAATGCACAAACTCCAGTCAAGGTCCTTCTCATTTATTGTTCCATGACAATGACTTAGCTGTGGTATTGTTGTCATGGTGTCCTGAAAATATAAATATAATTCATCTATTTTTTGTCATATCAACCCAAATGAATTAGTTATTGTAAAATAATCACCTTGCAAATGTCTTTTCCAAAACCGCATAATTCATGACAAAATGTGAAGCAATTATAGTAAAGTCACTACATTATGATCAATTGCAAGTCAAAATCTTACACGGAAATAATAGTATAAATTCTTTAACAAATAATCACAATAAGTACCAAAAATAAGAATTTTATAAACTGTAATCACTAAAGGATACAAATACAACACCTAAGTAAATTTAACTATAAACTATCTTGCAAAATTTAGATATTTTGTAATTTTGTTCACCACAGGACCCTATAAGGAAACATTGTTCTTGTTTGTTGTAATGAAATTATCATCTGTGACTGCATCATAACATATTAGGGGCCCTTTTAGGGAGGATGTTTTAATGGCAATATCGTGGTGATACAAACCATGTTTCCTGATTTAAATAATTAAAATACATTCTATTTTGTCAGAGATGTGGACTTAATAATATACTTGATATATGACATCACGAGAATAGTTTTAAGAACACATCATATACAAAACAAGTAAAGAATATCCCCCAAAAGGCCCCCTATGTTGCATACAAGCACAAAGACCAAACACTTGCTTTTCACTTATTTAAGCAGATATGTAACATTCTATCTATATGATAGCATGTCACATACTATGAAAATGTCAACCTATTTACTACTAAATGACTCAGGAAATTACAAATACATCTAAAAATCAAAATAATGCTAAGGTTTCATGTAATAGAATTAATTGATATCACATTTTATAAAGTATTTTCAATCAAAATATATAGAGATTCATGGTGATCATGCGGCAGTTCTCCATTTAAGGCCGCTTGAAATGTAACGAAATCAAGCTTACAGTCAGAGGAACAACGGCCCCATACCATAACAGAGTTCCACATGGCACTTTCCTGTATGTTGCGTTGTCGATCGTACCATATGGTGCAACTCTCTTCAGACCACTGGTGGTCTCCGTGATTTCAAATTCCAGTGCTTCAATGACTAGACTCCAGACTAAACGGTCCTACTTGTCTTGAGGTGTGAAGCGTTGACGCCTGATTGGCCTTCTAGTCCTTAATCATACTGCATTGACGTGCTAATGTACTCTCTGTTCTGGCTATGCCAGTGATCACGTAGGACAGCACACCTTTGAAGCTGACTGACGTCTCACGCTGTCTTCTTTGTCAGTGGTCTCCCCAGTTATGTTGCGTTCGCAAAGGAGCAGATTGACTACAGTGTGATTTAACGTTCAACACTGATCCAATAGCCCTACCTGGCATCCCATTTTGCTGCAAGTCAGTGATCCCCCATCTTTGATTTCCACATATGAGATGGTTAGGCCTTTCACTTCCACAGTCGTTTATAGAGTAAGATCTTCAGATCGGCAGCACATTTAATCAGAATCAAGGTCAGTGCAATACCGAAGCCTGATCAAACGTCAGTGTTAATATTGATACCAATGCGTTGTGTGTAAGGTTCATTTGAACGTTCGTTGTAATAGTTAAGTTGCCAACCATGCTCCATATGGACTGCGTAGCAATGCACAGAATGATTTTATCTTTCAAACGTTTGATTTCTGACAGAAAGTAATATAACTGGGAAAATTATTCCATTTTCCCGAGCACTCACCGGCGTTTAGAACAGATACCATTGATACAACGATCAATTCAAATTATTCAAAGTAAAAACATTGAAATTAAAAAGCAAAATGTCTAAAAACTCTATATGTTTGGTTTCAGTCGCCATGTTTTTTGCGGCCACTCTCCTTGGATTTCTGTCAACTATGACCAGGAGGCCATTAACAGGGGACACACGGCTGGATATGACATCACCTATCTCTCAGGGCAATACACCATCTTGTGGAAAAAAAAGCTTTGGTGCAACGAAAGAAAACGGCAGAAATTCCAAGTCAGTGTTGTGAAGAAGATGAAGTCATCTGTGACTAACACAGGGATCTGCGAGATAACCCTTGCATACAGGAAGGCAGCATTACCGGCTGAACATTTTGTGTGTTCGAGTTAACATATGAGTAGTAGATAAAGAGTTGTAAATGTTACTGTTCCATTCAAACACTAGGTTTTCCTTTATCCCAGTGGCCCCAACGATCCCATTTGAATCACCAACGCTCTTAAGTAAGTGGAGCATTCACGTTTTGAAGAGAGACGGTAGCCGTGGTTGAGTCCATGCTTTGGTGACTATATGATCTTCTTCTTTTGAAGGGGCGGTGGGGTAGCCTAATGGTTAAAGCGTTGGCTCGTCACGCCGAGGACCCGGGTTCGAATCACCACATGGATACAATGTGTGAAGCCCATTTCTGGCGTCCCCCGCCGTGATGTTGCTGGAATCTTGCTAAAAGAGGCATAAAACCAAACTCAGTCAGTCAGTCAGTCTTCTTTTGAAGAGAAGATAGCCATGTCGATGTCCATAGTGACTATCACGCCGCCACTTCTTTGTAGTCTCTCAGCATCCACTTTCTGTGTTATATTTTCATTCAAATACTCTGGGGGGTTTTCCCCGAACACTAAATTTGCCTTTGACAACTTTCCTTTGCGCGTGTTTTTATGAACACTTGGGATCATCATGATTTAAAAGTATTTCATAAACACACGATCATAATGTAGTCGAAATCAGAAGTCTTTCAGCAGAGATGTCTGAATATGCCAGCTATATTTCAAGATAGGTTCAATATATATGTCATTGTCATATTTGTAGAACTTTCGCTTTAACCAGTTAGAAGTGAGTAGACGGTCCGGGTAACTGCACCACGAAACAATATTGTTTACATGGCTCCAGGGTTTTGATCGGAAATAGTTGTATTGAATATATTTGCTGTCTATAAAACCGTTTCGGCAATTTAATTGAAACATATGTGTGCTTACTCCTCCTCATGCATGTCGAATAAAGCAATGTCAATTTGAGAATTGTTTGGGTTAAGCCATATTTTACCTTATCTTATCGTTGTTTCAGGAGCAATGTTCTTCTCGGCAACTGTGTTTGGGTTTCTGTCATCTCTGATCCACTGTATCGTGGAATCGTTGTTTCAGGAGCAATGTTCTGGCAACCCATCTCTGATCCACTGTATCGATCTTATCGTTGTTTCAGGACAATGTTCTTCTCGGCAACTGTCCGACATTGCTGACCTTACTGACGCTCTTGTGAATGCGATCTTATCGTTGGGATGTTCTTCTCGGCAACTGTGTTTGGTCATCTGATACACGTGGATCTTATCGTTGTTTCAGGAGCAATGTTCATCTGTGAACTGTGTTTGGGTTTCTGTCAAGAAGGACATTGTTAACAACACACACCTTCTGACTAACCGTGAATGAGTTTTGATGTACAAACATTTACACTGGAAGGAACATTGTATAACCGTAACATAAAACATTCAGTATATTCTATATTCAACAAGTTGAAGACGCAATGAATACCAGTGTCATTGCAAACAACTTGCTACAGCGAATACAGTTATTATAGGTATCTGTATTCAGAGCAGATAGACAACTGCCCTCAGTTATTTGGAGTCATTATCCGATTATGTTCACTGCTCAAAGGATTGAAGGATGGCATTTTTCCTTGCAAAGGATACGCTCTTAATTCTACATGCACCTGGTATCATAATTATTTTATTGTGATCCACAAGGATATGCACAGAATACGGTTGTGGATAAAATCGTACAATCAACTTTGTTTTCTGTAGACCTGTTTTATGGAGCTGTCCCCATGGTTCCTAGTATGGTGATCTCCATTCAGTTGAAGTGGATGTACGGGAATGTTGTAACCACTGTAGTATGTCATACTATGGGTAAAACTGACAGGTCACACACACACACACACACACACACACACACACACACGTTACACACACACACACACACACACACACACACACACACACACACACACTACATGTTCGTGTCGGGGAAATCAGTCAGGTTAGAACAAATACAGTAGTGGGCTATCTTTCTACATGACATGGACCCGCCTTGGCACAACAGTGCTACTGTTAATTATAGATCTAAGTGTCACGTACATGAAACAGTACATCAAATAGTACAGTTGCACATAATGTTTACGCAACCCGCGACAGATGTTACCACCATTCGATTATGATAAAAGATCAAGCATAAAGATGTGACTCAAAAGTGACCTGTATAACAAGGAGGCCGAACCACCAGGTATGTATGTGTGTACTGTACTGTTGCTACATACTCCAGTAAAGCTGTGTTATCAACGATATATCTGCAGTGTAAATCAGCGAAATACATACGTGAGTATCGTACCTTATGTGCTTTCTATGCTGGGCTTGAATTAAATTAATTGATCAGGCTTCAGAGGTAAACATATTATTGTCATTCCAACTTCAGAAGCCATTACTCGCCGAGTGGTATGCACAAGGCATCTTATAATACACTTAGAAAACAAGGGCAACTCTACCTAACGTTGTGGCAGTGGAACACGGTGTCAAATTAGGGTTAGACAGCGCAAACGCCTCCAACCTTTTAATCATTCTGAATTTGTCTCTCAGGTGATATTTCTCTCTGTAATATACAACTTTGATTGTTCAATATGAACTTTCAGGCAGTGACACTTAGTCACTTTGTATTTATGCAATTCCAAATGACCAATGAACATAGCTGTAACAAATTAGGAACCACATAACAATGTGGGTAATCCGAAATATTTGACCTACTTTAATTCATAGTTAACGTGGAAATCGAGTTTTCTATAAATCTCTAATTTAAACACATTCTGTGTTTTTACTGATCGAAAACGGTAATAAAGTGATACACTTTCAAACAATATCAAAACAATATAAAAGTGTTAGAACACACTTGTACTACTTCAGTGCATAATTTCGAACTGCAGAATCGGAACATCCATTCCATTTCAGTAGCGACCATTAGCTTTACAGTAATTTAGCGAAGGGCCGATTTCCTAGAATCGGTTTGAGAGGCGTGTTCAGTAACAGTACCGCGAGTGCTGAGCGTACATACTATAGTCTTAGTAACCCCTGTGCGAAACCACGCCCGCTTATAGACGCTGGCCCGGCAGTCACTCTTTATAGGACCATGTCTCCTCCGTCCGTATCTAGTACATCATTTCCAGGCATAGTTAGACATGACAAATACCTTTGATATGAAATGTCATATACTGGAGGTGAGAGCACGGTATTTTGCGATGCGAGTACAGCCCAAAAAGAAACACATCTCTAAAAGACGGATGTACGGCCATCGTGACGGATCATCTTAATTTACTCATGTGCCTTAAACGTTGCCTTTTTAAAGTCTTTTCTAGTTTACAAAACAATCACCCTGGAAGAAATCCTGTTGTCACTTGACTGCATCTACCTTGAGGTGTACTTTATGTCGTCGACTGTATGAATATGGGCATTGTCGTCGTCACGTGACATGCAGGCTATTTTAGACGTAGATCGATGCTCAGCTATTCTGTACGTGCGGCATATGTGTGCAGTCTAGGGCTATCAATAACTATCGAGAACCTTTGAGCCGAAGATACTTAGAGGCAGAACATCGATGCAATCGCCACTTATTCCTCAACAGAATCGCCTTGTAAGGCGATGCACTTGGTCCATCTTGTCTGCCAGGCATTTATGCCTTGTTTATAGAAATCCTTTGGTCGTGTAGCCACGTCTCCACAGCTGTAGTGAGTTCGTGATCATCCTCGACTCTCCTACCACGGAGGTGCTTCTTCTGACTAGGAAACAGTTGGTAGTAAATTGGAGCCAGGTCTGGAGAATAGGGCGGTTGAGGTAGGATTTCAAATCCACATTCTTTTACAGCGTCCAGTGCAACAAGCCTCATATGTACTGGAGCGTTGTCCTCGGCGCTTCTCCTTCATGGACTGTATCACTTTCTTCAGTAGGGTACCATAATATTACCCATTCGTCGTAGTTCTTTCGTGGGAGGTTCTCATCTATGTGGATGATGCCTTGGCTATCCTTAAATATGGTAGCCATAACCTTCCTGGTCGATCTGGACGACTTGAACTTCTTGCTCGGATTAGACTTGGCGTGCTTCCACGCCATTGATTCATGTTTGCTCTCAGGGTCATAGTGATTAATACACGTTTCATCACAAGTACCTAAGCTCATATGGGTTTTGTTTCAATCTGATTCTCATGGCATTAGTTATAGGGGTAAAGAACTGTAACCCCCAAAATGTAGTGGTGGGATTTACCTTAGCCTTTCTTTGGAAGAAGGAATCTATGGTGTTGTTTTATATTGGAATAAAATATGAGAGTGATAGCTGTGGGGAGGGTGGTTGGTTTCTGGTAGCTGGTGAAATAGTATCCTAATGTTTTGTGTATGTATAATAAAAAAGATAGAGTTTAATTTTGGAGAGAACTGGTGTTGCATTTTAACGAAAAGTAAAAACGTTGAGGCAGTCGAGATTAAGTGTTCATTGTCTATGGTGTTGTGTGGGTTCTGCGTCAGTGTGTGTCTGTATGGGTGATATAGTTAGAAGATAAAGCTACTGTTTTCAATTTTGCGGCCCTTTATCGTTGATTTAAGACCGTTAAATGTAATTTAAAAACCGAACACGTTAGCGCTTAATTTCAACGCATAAATTTTCTTCGAATTAGTTTGCCATTCTTGATAGACTGTTCGTATTATTTAATTGAAGTGATGTAGGGACAATGATATTTTGTTTCAGAATTGACGCCTTCCCCAAATGTTCTTTCTGTCAGCAGCAGTTTACCCTGAAGGGCCCCGCCCCCTACCTACTGCCCTGTCTACATGCTGTGCGTGAGACGTGTGTGACATCTGCAGCTGGTGGTGTGATATCATGATTCACATGTCACATGAACACGACGTTAAGGATTTAGACGTAGCTTCTGGTGCTGCTAAAGGGCGGATAGAACAACATGGGAAGAACGTGACTGCACATCATACGTCTCACCAAGCATATTTAAAGAGCATCAACAAAGCCGTGAATGACACCAAGAAGACAAGCAGTGCCCTGAAGGAGACCGTCCACCACACTTTCCATTCTCTGAGGACACAACTCGATCAAAGAGAGAAGGAACTGATCATCGATCTTGACAATCAAACGAAGCAGGAACTGTCAAATCTGCACAGCGAGCACGTTACCTCTGAAGGCGAGAGTGAACGATGCAAGTGGACCTCAGACTACATCAAGACAGTGCTCAGATATGCTTCAAACTCGGACTTTCTGACACTGGACAGTTCAATACAAGAAACAACGAAGACTCACTTGAGAACAGTTCCACCAGAGGTATACAGCTCACCTGCAGCTGCATTCAAAACGAGAGGACTTGAGAAATTGAAATCTGACATTTCTAACTTCGGGTCTGTCATTGGAGATGGATCAGCATCTGACGAACATACACTTACAGGTATTTACTTCTTACTCTGAAAATACATGTTGTATAATTGACTAATACTTCCTAGTATATTGTCAAGTATTTCTAATTATGCTTTGTAACCAAATACATAACGAGAAAATATTTAATGGCTTATTGATGTTTTTCTTAACATTGTCTTAATATCTATAAGTTTTTATTCATCCCTAAAAAGTCAGTGAAACATAAAAAGATTGATTTGTAACAGTTGTTGGTTATTTTACAGACAGAGGTACACAGACAGATAACATACATCTACCTGACCCGGAGAAGACACTCAAGCATGTAAGTACTTCATAGTAAGCCTGTTTATAGATGAATCTATAATAAAACAAGCAACTGTCACTAAGGTGACATAATCCCCCACCGGAAATCTTAAAAAATAATGAAATTTGAAGGTCGTAGTTTAAGATGAAGTTAAATGTCAACAACAAAATGACTAGTCAACCTCTGCTTGATATCTTGCTCTGCAGCTGTTCAAACACACAACTATTTTCAAGATTCAATTTGACCTTGACATGAATGCCATGGTGTAGGAAATATGCAAAAAGTAGTAATAAATAAATTGCTTATCGAAAACATTCACGAGAAGCCTTGAAAGTCTATGAAGAAAATCCGGTGAACCGTTGAAATGAAACCTGACTGGGACATTTCGCTTACTGTGATGAACCTAGGTACCAAGTATTAAAAGAATCTAGTCAACGGTTCTTAAGATATTCCACATCATGCGTACGCCAAACGCGCGGAGGGGGATAATTAGTAGAAGTGAAATATGCATACTGGTGTGTGGATTGCGACATTGACATATTTTATTTTGTTTTAAGCAGAAGCTCCAGGTTGCTACCGAGACAACACCACTACCACAGTTTGGTAACAATACTTTTCAAAAGTAACAAAAGCAAGTAACATTGCTGTATATGTCCCTTCATTTTTCATGCCATTTAATCAGAAGCCCATACCTCAATCATCTTAATCATTAAAGTAAAAATAGTTATGAATGGGTGGGAGATGGTCTCGGCTAATTTTAGCAAACGTATTTCTTAGAAATTATCTTGTGAACAGTTTTCGTCTTTTATGTCGATATGATACTGTGATACACATAATTCGCAACAACAAACAATCCGATACGTTATCAATGCTTGTTTGAAATGGACAGCAATTGAGTGGAAAGAATGATATTGAAATGTTTCTTTGCCGACATTTAAAGGACCCACATATTTTGTTGTGTACAAAGGTGGAGTGCCCCCCATGTTGAAACCAAGAAACTCCCGACTACCGAAGTTATTTTATTTGTTCTTCAAGCTAGGGAATATTTTGCAGGTGCGGGGACTAAAACCTACATTCTTGAAACAGGAACAGGGACCACGTTGACACTGCAGTTTGAGTATAATCAGTTTCCTGCATGGCGACGTTCACAACTCTATGTAACACCGTTGTGCCCCATAAACAGGATGGATTACTGGCTGAAGCGCTCGTTCAGGACGTGTAACTACAGGATGTTGTGCTTGTTGCTGCTGAATCCCTATCACAGACCTGGTACTGGTTCTATTGATGTTGCTTGCTCTTAGGCAAAGGGCACGTACGGTACTTGGTCTAGTGATGATGTGCCCCGTTTACATAGGAGATACAGTGATGCTGGAATTAACATTTTCCCGCTTACAAAGAAGATACAGTGATACTGGAATATGATATTTTCCTTGAGTAAACAGTGGGCAAAGGGCTTGGTGTAGTGTTATCCTCCCTATAAAGAACAGGCATGCTTCCAGGTGTATGCTGACGAGTGCAGTTGTATCGTGAAAAGGTGAAAGGTGTGTGGTAATTTTCGACATTCCTTCTAGAAGATGTAACTTCCGTGTCTATAAACAGAATCCCCATTTCTGTGGAACACACACGGCGCTTCAGCTACCTCTCAGCCTTTCAACTACAAATGATATGTGTACGTGAAGACTTTACCCCGATCGTGGGCGACGCGTTTATGACACTGGAAGGCAATCATTCAGTTGTACTTGTGTCGGACTTGGAGAACGTTTCAAGAACTCATGTCAGTCACAATTGTTAATGTAAATGATAATTGTTAATGTAAATAACTTTACACTAATAACAGCTAATACCAGCAACATGATTCTGGTGCGCTACAATGAATATAATGCGTTAGAGGTATTGCCACTTCACAAAATACGTCATTTAAAAAACGACCTAATACAGATATCAGATATTACAATTTAGCGCAGTCTGAAAACAGTCTCCAAATACTTGATTCACTACAGTTCAGACATGTTTTATTTATTTTTATTATAACAACTGGTTTTTCTATGTCTTATTGTTAAGTATACCGTATAAAAAGAGTTTAGAATAACACTAGTAATAGTTTTAGCATGAAATTGTGTTTATACATACGAGTTTCCATACGGAATTGTCTATTTCTGACTACTGACAGCAAACCAGCTCAACTGACAGTGTCTGACAAAATGTTTCATGGAGTGTTTATTTCATTGTCAGTCAATATAAAACTGTATGAAAAACATTTAGAATACCCATACAAATATTTTCACAAATATAATTGTGTGTATTTAAGTGACAGTGGTGATACAATTCACACACAGACGAAAATGGCGGCCGGTCAATCAGTGCGCTGTTTTGTAAACATTGAAACGAGGTTGACAATAAAATGTCTATCTTGTTGTCAGAAGTCGGAAAATTTGTCAAACTGTAAACAAAATGTATATTTCCAGGGTGCCGTTCCACTAACCGATCTTATCTAAGATCAATCTTAGCAAGTTACGCCAATTTTACAATCGTCTTAGCTAAAAGTTACACCCGTTCCACTACCCGATCTTAGGCCGATCGTAGCCGGTCCCGATCTTACGATCCGATCCAAGCTTAGATCGAGACTCTTTCGTGCGAGAGATAGAGGAATGCGAGGCACGAGTCTTCTCCCTTTGCATAGTCTAGCAAATGATGGAAGTAGTTTACGAACCAACTGAGTCAATGAGTGAGTTTAGATTTACGCCGCACTCAGCAATAGTCCAGCTATATGGCGGCGGTCTGTAAATAATCTAGCTAATATGCATAGTGTTCACTAACTTGAGCGTTCATGTTAGTGAACGCTATGTATCTTAGCTATAATTAATCGAGTCTGGACCAGACAATCTAGTGATCAACAGCATGAGCATCGATCTGCGCAGTTGGGAACCGATGACATGTGTCAACCAAGTCAGCGAGCCTGACCACCCGATCCCGTTAGTGGCCTCTTACGACAAGCATGGGTTATTGAAGTTCAATATTCTAACCCGGGCCTTCATGGGTATTTTTCCAACGAAGTGTAAACGTGGAGGAAAACCTACAGCAAAATATTAGGGTAGTGAGCACCTTGGTTTCAGGTGCAAGTGCGTGTGAACGCTGGGTATCAGGCATAATATAATAATAATAAATGCATATTTATAGTGCGCCTATTCCACATCCTTGGGCATGCTCAAAGCGCTATGTACATATAATTTACACGAGAGTATTTACAGCCGAGATTATAAATAATATATTGAGAATAGGTTTTAAGTCTGGACTTTAAAAATGTCAATTGTGTTAGAGCTTTTAATATGTGCCTGAACCTTGTCAATCAGAATAAACAAGGCGTGACGAAGCATCCTCTATAACGTATGTAGAATCTGTCAGTGGTCTTGAATAACACGGGGCCTGCCTTTAGAATCCCCCACCAAATAAGCGCACGTGAAATCAAACATATTTGTATCTTTTTGTATCAGAACATTGTTCACTTCATGACCCGTACCTATTCTTAACCATGACGTTGCAATATTGTTGTACAAATGTGTTACACCGACTCGCTCGGTTGTGTTCCCATGACGACAGTGGTCAGACTGGCCTGACATTTGTAGGGCTTCAGTGCAGTGTTTGTTTACATCACAGAAATATACAAATTCATTTCATGGGGGATTTTAGGGGACGGTCACGGTGAAATTGCTCGCTCTTTTTTTTCACATAGAATAGGAAAGCCACCATTTTGGTTTCTCTACGATTGATTTTAGCTATTCTAAGTTGGTCATGAGCAACTTAGACTTTGAATCTTAACTTTACGATTGACTTGGGTAAGATTGGTTAGTGGAACGGTATGCCGATCGTAACGTTACGCTAAGATTGGGATTTTAGGGGTTTACGATTGGCATAGGGCTAAGATCGGTTAGTGGAACGGCACCCAGGTCCTAAACTACAACTGGACGCTGCTCGAGCCAACACAAGATGGTGCCACGTAACTACAGACGGTGAGCTGGTCAACTCGCGGCACGCCACACAGCACAGACACAGCGGCAGGTTATGGAAATATTGGGGTACATGTGCCTGCACACCCATCCCCCTCACTCAATCCCCCTCCACTGTCACCCCTGTCCCACACATACCACGATACTGGGAGACCCACACTAAGGTGGGTGTGGTGCGTAGAGGGTGTAGGTGTCTTGTCCTGGAGATGGGTGTGGGGGAGGAGAGCCAGGTGGACAGTGAGGTGTATGTTTCTCGACATCGACGCTCCTGGTGTGTCAGTGTAGGGAGTTGTGTCAAACACCAGGGGAATCTCTATACCATGGTGTGGCAGCAGGGGGAGGAGGGGAAGTGTTACAGTAACACAATGTATGACACACCCGGCACACAGGCCACCCTCCATCATGGCGTTGTGTTGGATGTGGGGGAGGGGAGACTTGCCTTCATCGACCTCGAGAAAGAGGTTGTTTTAGCCAAGGTGGATGTTGAGTGGTGCGAGTCTCTTCTTCCCATGTTTGGTGTTGGGCAGCCGAGTCGCTACACAGTCAACATGAAGGTGATAAGTGGGGCAGATATCACCATGACTGACGCCAAGAAGTCACTTATTTATGACGCCTTGAATTAGACAATAAAATAACATGACCTTATGTAAACTTGTATATATGACATATCTATTTAAACTGTCAAATGCAATTGTAGTGATTGAGGCGGACGTATAAGTTGTCTGTCTATGTGCTGTTTGTTGTGTACAAGAAAGAAAAGAAGTCAGTTAAATGTGTTATTTTTCTACTTGACTGGATTCTCTTGTGCATAAGAAAGAATTTGCATTTACATTAATATTGTTATGATCGTTATTCTGCAGTAGTTGACCAGTTTATCATACATTTCATACATGCCTGGGAAATATCACAACAAATAACTGAGTCACAAATTCATCAAAAGTTGTTTCAAATCATGAATTTATCGCCAGGTTTCGTTTCTTCTCTGTAATATAAATGTTTTAAATCCCCACATGAATATTGTTGTGATGAAATTATTGTAGTTGTAAATCCACATACGCCACAGTTGATGTCAGTGAAGAAATATGATGAAAGTGATTGAAGCGGACATAGAATGTCCCCGTTTACATGTTGTGACGTGTATTCAGAACTTATTATACAATCAAGGTCGCAGAATCTTTTGGTTTCCCAATAAACTGGATTCTATTGTCAATAAAAAGTATTTCAAATCCACACATGACTAGTTTATGGATTAACTGAAGCAGAAATGTCAGACTTAGAGGGGCACTGGCTTCTTCCCAGTTGTCAAACACTGTCCGCTAAGACTCATCAGCTGTCATGGGTAAATTTGTCGGATAAAGTAACTGGGTATGACATGAGACCGGGCTGCCGTCTGTAAGGACAGCGGAAATATACTTTGACACTTTATCCGTACACACTTCTGAACACTGATAGGATACGCAAAGCCTGTAAGAAAGTGGGCAAATGCTACACCGTATGTTTCGGATTGTATGTTAAGCTCAGAGTTTGTACTTTTCGGGGTGTGGATCCCCTCTGCCATTCGAACACCTATTCTCAGAGTGAAGGACCTAATATCGAGCACGTGTGGTCTACGAAGATTCCAATGGGCATTTTGTTTATAATTTATGTCTTCAGTCAAACAAACCGACAAATATACGAGGGAGGTTCATCAGAGTGTAATTTGGAAATAATCCTGAGTGTTACAGTTTGATTTTTAAATTCTTCCCGCAATGAAAACATATTGAGACTGATTTGGGTCCTATTTTAAAATGTAATATTTACAAGTGAATATTTTGAGAATATGAAAAGAATAAACGTTTGATTTGTTTAAAACCACAATTGAGTGAGTGAGTTAAAATTCATAAAGTTTATAGTTACATTGGCAGTATTTCAGCCATATTGGGACCATAAATTTGCTATCACACATGGTAATCGTGCCCTATCTTAGTTTGCCTTTGTAGTTGTCTAATGTGCTATGTCAGTTGACCAATGAAACTTTACACATATATATGTGAGTGAGTTAAAATGTTACATCGTATCGGCAATTTTTTTCAGATTCGGGGATTTTGTTTTGCACATTCGGCACTCAGCTTGGCATTGGTATTTGGTATTTGAACTCTTATTATGCATTTCATTAACACATTTGGTGAGCGTGTGAGTGAGTTGCACTCAGCAATATGCCAGCTGTATGGTGGCGGTCTGTAAATGATCGAGTCTGGACCAGACAATCCAGTGATAAACAGCATGAGCATCGATCTGCGCAGTGGGGAACCGATAACATGTGTCAACCAAGGCGGCGAACCTGACCACCCGATCCCGTCGGTCGCCTTTTACGACAAGCATGGGTTACAGAAGGCCAATTCTAACCCTGACCTTCACGGGTATTAACACATTTGGAATTCGGAACTTCAGCGTCCATGCAACTATACTCTTTGCACCTACATCTGTCAAACCTGTCAAGCAGGGAAGAGCTTCAGGACCGTTGACTATACGCACGGCAACGTCGACGATAAATAGGTTTGACAGATGAAGGTGCGAAGAGTATAGTTACAAGGACGCTGAAGTTCCAAAATTCCAAATGTGTTGAAGAAATGCATAATAACAGTTCTAATACGGAATGCCCAATGCCAAATGCCGAAAGTGCAAACGAAAAAACCCGAATATGAAAAAAAATCAGATTCGGGATTCGAATCTCAAAATATGAAAAAAAATCAGATTCGGGATATGAATCCCGAATGTGAAAACAAATATTCAGATTCGGGATTCGAATCCCCAATCGCGAATCCGTTTCTAACTGCATGTTCCCGAGCATGAATCACGTTACTGAATTCAATATGATGACATACACACACAAACATCGACCGTCGATTCCAAACACGGGTACAACGTACGAAGCCCAATTTGTGGAGCATGATATACCTGGACGTTTCGAAAAGCTGAGTTTAACCATATATATACTCACTGATCTTCACTGACAGACGAAATCTTATAAAAGGTTGTACACGTTTTCGTTGACTGTTCGAATGCTGATCTGGGTCTATATTTTTGTACCTCTTTATCAAATGTCTGGAAACTGACATAACCAGCAACCAGTGACAGACAGCTGGTATTTCGCGTGACGAGCGAACGCTTTAACCACTAGACAACCACCCCGAATTATGATGGCACTGTCTTACTTACTTGAACACAAACTGAATCTGTTTTGATTACACCATGCCATTTAGAACGTGGTCAAATGTAACATATGCTATATGTGTGGGATATGAATATGTTTTGTTGAACCACCACGGGCATTCACAACACTCATTGTCGAAGGTGATGTAATGGGTTGGTTCTTGTAACCAAAATATCAATGTACATATCTTTCGAACCCTGCATCCGACATGATTCATGGTGCCAGTATGACGTTTGTGATAATCTAAAACGAAAGAACTATCCGTCTTATACAACGTGCGTATGTTGGTGCCAGTACGTGTGCATGCGAGCGTGCGTAGTTATACAAGTCCGACCAATGCCGGACTTGCATTGTTAGCTAACTGTGATAATTATGTTGCCGCAGTATTACATAGTAAACACATTCAGACACAATAGCCGGACTTCTAGCCAACTAGCCAGTGTGTGTTTATCCACTTAATATAACCGGACAAGGTAACAACATGTAACAGCTATTTCGTTTTATATGAAGCAAGCGAGAAGCCTATCCACCGACCTTCCACTCTCCATGGCCAGGCTCTGTCTACTAGACCACTAGACAAAGGAAGCTGTCCTTTGGCGTTTTTAATAGTTACGCTGTTTTGCATAGAAAGAGATTGGTATATTGGCATACGCTGGATTCAGAAATTTCCGACTTCTCATCAGATATGCTCTGCGATTGAAAAGAAAATAGAAGATATATCAGAGTCAATCAATGTTGACATAAAAATAGTGAATGTTTTTAGAATGCATCACCACTTGTACTTCCTTTTGACCATAGTTGTTTGGACAGTAATCACTCTTGAAAGATGATTGGTGTATGACGTGAAAATTACATGTGCACGACTTTCATTTTCAAACAAAAAAAAGACCCGGCTAGAAACAAACACTAACAATTGTGTGATGAAAGATGATTGTCAAATTTGATGGTCTTGAGTGATATATCGAACTTCTTCAAAAACGTCAAAATCAAGAATGATACCCAATGCACGTGTGAACCTGTATACATTGCGTTGTGTTTAGGTGATACAGAGAAATGGTGGTGCGTTCATAAGATGTCTGCCTTTGAAAAGTCTGTTAACGGTTATACTTCCTATCGACATTTCCCTATATTTTTTAAGAGTATTTTGCACGGTCTGATGATCACTGACAGAAATGAATATGGAGCAACAGCATGGGTTGTGAGGTCAGTAGATGCATAGTCAAACAAGAGAGAACAGTTACCAGACAAAAATGCACCGTCATATAGATCGTGATGTTGGGACCAGGTAATAAGAGTGAGGCAGATGTGTGTATGCAGGTCATATTTGTACAGCTGACAGTCTGTTCAGTTTAGAAGTCATCTTGAAGTGGTTGGTTTCATCCAGTGATTCACGTCTCAGGAAGATCATCAACGAGGAATATATGTGAGTCTATAGTTTTATAGTGAATCGTTACTTTCTCCTCCAACCATTAGTGCACGACAATGGTGATCATCAATGTTTCTATGTAACCTACTAGTGTCTCAATACTGAGTAATACAACAGCGCTGAACTGTTGTGTGTTGTGTTATATATGATAATACTGATAGAGCCAATGATTTGGTGAAGGTGGCAGGCTCTTTAGGGGAACTACGGGCTCTTCCGAGAGTGGATGTGACACTGGACAATCGTATGTATCGTTGGGTAGCTTCAGACCCTGGTAGACGAATTCGGACACAGTATGGAAACTTGAATCACCATGTAGGCACGATCATATTACAGCCATGATATTACGTGTCCTACATGAGTCACATATAAAGAAATACATTTTAGGCCAGAAACATAATTCCCATAGTAATAATTTGGACTGAAATTCATATCAGTGAAGTATTGACAAACAGACTACATCCATGGGTGGGGGCGGTGCATCTTACAGTTCCTTCCTTCTTCTTTCACTGACGTTCTCTCACGCGCACGTACACACGAACATAGATAAAGACAGAAAGGCACAAACTCACTCCTTCTCTCATTTACCTCTCTCTCTCCCTCTCTCCCATGCCCAAACACAAACTAACGGAGAGGTATTATAACTGGTAAATCACTTCATAGTTTACATCTCCGCTGAAGCAAGGGAGCTTAGGAACCGTTCATAATTTATGGCTGCTAGGGGTGGGGTGGGTGGGGTGATTTTAAGGGGCCGTCACCCATTTTGTTCTGGGGTGGTAGTGGGGTCAGCAATTTTGTACACAGGTACTAGGGGGTCAACAACTCTGTAGATAAAAATATTGAAACATTATGCTTAAAAATTATGGGAAGGGGAAGGGGTCATTGATTTTGTACATGATATGAAAGGGGGGTCACTTACTTTCTACGTACATTTTTTTGGGGTCATTCACATTGTACATGCCTCTGCATAAAAAATCACCCCCCCTTGCCATAAATTATGAACGGTCCTTTACTGCGTCACATTTTGCAATTAGAAGCAATGTTGTGTAGAAGGTTTGAATTTAGAAGGGTCGGTAAACAAAAATGAATATTACATTATACATGTTTTTAGACTTGGTTATTTACTCTCTATGTCGTGAAGTATATCGCTTTCAGGTACATATGCGCCATCTGTTGATCATACGCCTCACGTTACAACCTGACTGGTTATAGAGTACACACACAATGACAAAAGTACTCAAGCCATATAACTTTCAACCTACTGCTGTTCCGCCCCGGTGCCCTGGAGGCCTAGCTACTAATCATACTTTCGTGCACAGTAATTCGCTTCATTACCTCCATTACGTAGATCTCTGCATCACAAGCTATGGCGTTCGTTGGAAATGCACATGCCGACGTTCAACCAGTTCACGATGATCAACGATGGTGATGACGTCAGTATATCTGGCTCTACCCTCAGAACCAATCTGGAGTACCTTTGTGTGGCTGAACTCATTATCAATTTAGCTCACCCTTGTTTTTTAAACGTAGAATATTTGTTATTTTAAATTATGGCTAATTTCCCTTCCATCGCTAGCGACTGATGGGATGGTGTAAATCCAGCTAGGGCCCATGCAGGAAGCAAATGTACTGTAAGTCACCATGGGCCCTAGTATGGTCAATACCTTCAGTTGTTGGCGATTACTGGCCCATTTTCACATTGTATTGTCATAAAATAGTTTTCTACTTTTAAAGATATATGCTAGCTAGTTTTAACTCATTTTGTGATAATCTAGTGGTTTTACTCTCCTTCGTTGACAGGGCTTTATATATTATCTGTATGTATTATAAATTTAGAACTAGTTTTAGTCACGATATGGCTGAAATATTGCCGATGTGAATTTAAATTTTAACTCACTCACTCACTCACTCACTGAACTTATTAAAGTGGCCTGAAGTGGCCTCTCAGATATCTATGCGTTAAGTAAAGTTGAATAACGTGATGTATTTACTGCCATTGTTTACAATGTGCAGTGTATTTGTATTTCTGAAATGTCAAATATTTAGTGTTTGACTATGATAATGTAGAATATTTATAACGCGCCTTATCCTGCTCAAAATATAATCTGATTACTATTACCCCGAATAACCCAAGCTGCCTGTTAGGCGCTAGAAGGTTATAGTCACATGACTTATCCCACGAGGTACCCGTTTCCTGCTGGGTGAACAGGGGCAATTTTGAACAAACTCACTTGCCTGAGACCACATATGCTTCGTTGTGGGACAGGACAGAAGTCCGAGAACCTCTCAGGAGTCAAGCTGACAAACACGGTCACTCATCCAATAACTCACCGCGCCCAACGTTGCTTAACTTCAATTGATTTGCGACCTGAGCTCCATGCACAGGACCACACACCACCACTATAATGTGTATTGTTCGGTTGTATTGCAAATGCAGCATAAGAAAAGTAAAACATGTATGAGCGTTCAGTAAGAGTTTATACATAGTTGGGCTACGGGAACATTTATTGTTAAAACATAATGTGTTTAGTGCAGGCTTGCATTCTGGTTGTATTGCAAATCCAACAGGAAATAAAGCTATGAATAAATCCCTCACTTCAGCTATATACCGATTCGCATTTTGTATTCACCCAGGCGTTTATCAGCATACTAATGTCATTGTGTGAAACCAGGGGACCTTGAACACATCCATCAGCATCCAGCAAGCTTACTTTTGAACATATTAACCCTGACCATGGTGTATGGTCTTGTTGATTCAGATACAATGAAAAGCTGAGTTTTTGGAGTTTTGTACATCAAGAGATAAGCCAAGAGCAGGTTAATATTTTCATGATATCTTGGCACCCGTGAAGAGCCACCTCCTCACTCACTCATGATATCTATGTTTCTTGTTTATTAGGTACTTGAGTTGCCCTTTGTTTGTCTAAGTCTGAGTCTATGGTATTCGTTGTAGGTTATTGTGTTTGTTTAATGTTGGTGAACCGTGACCAGCATCAATGCTCCCGCAATCCATATACAAAGGTGACCTTTGGATGTTGCCGGGCCGTTCGTATTTACGTCCAAATATAGCTATGTCTATAATTATACATTGCAGTAGAGTTGGGTATGTATTACTAGTTCAGTGTGTGTGTCGTTATACCCTGCTAGTTTTGGGAAGATGCTCATCAACCTCGGCCATACAGCTGGAGTATTCACAACACGGGTAACGTGATGTGTGTTTCAATTTATATTCAACTAGCTATTGTACTCAGTTACAAGCACTTGCCGTCCGCACAGATGGTACGGAATATGAATTATTGTGTTACTCTATGCCACACTAAGCAAAATTGTAATTATGTGGAGGTGATACATAATGGACTCTGGAGAGAGAAGGGTGGTAGGTGAGGAGAAGAGATAGATAGATACATAGATAGATAGATAGATGATGCATGGATGTATAGAAGGATAGGTATATAGATAGATAGATGGAGGGATAGACGGACCGACAGACAAAGAGACAGACAGAGAAACAGACGGAGGGACGGATGGATGGATGGATGGATGGGTGGGTGGGTAGGTGTAATGAAATTGTGTGGTCCTAGTGTAGGGCAGTTAGTATGGTGGCTGGGTCCTTTGTCTGTTTTGGACGTACTTATTGTACGAGAACATCAGTTGGGCCAACTCTATCCTCCTCCTCCTCATCATCATCTTAATTATTGTTGTTGCTCATATCATAGATGAATGAGGAGGGTATGTACTCCTGGGTGGTGCTGGGTGCTTCCTTCACCACGCTGCTGATTGGACCAAGTATCACCTACGCCACTGGCGTGTTCCTCGTCGCCATGTTGAAGGAGTTTGAAGAGGACTTGGTTCTTACAACCTGGGTAGGATCGACTTTCGGCTGCATGTTCGCCCTAGCAGGTACGGTCTGCAATACAACGTACGTAAACATGTTATTATTGAATCCTGATTGGTCATGTATATGTTTGTGTAGTTGGTTGTAATAGAAGTTTGTTTCAGCATTTCAACTAAATTACACAGAAAGGTACGAACCCAAAACAGTCCCTTATATATCTGTTCCTTATAAGTCTGTTTGTAGTTAACTGTATGTGACGGATTATGACCACGTTCAACTACCTTGTAAAAACGAAACGACGACATTTAAATATTTTTTTTCACATTTAATGATTGTTCGTCTTCAGATATATTGATAAAGCAGTAGGGACGGCAACTGTATTGCATTCTTCTCCAGTTGAATGACGTTGAAGCTGCACGATTAATTTTGTTAGCACAGTCTTGACTTCAAAGGCTGCAGTCCCGGACTTAAGTCTTCAGGTTTTCATGAAATATCTGCAGTTCCTCATGACATATAAATCATGACTTACATTCACAGCAGCAAGAAGTCTGAAACTTTAGGCCCAACCCCGGGGCCTACAGAACGGCGCTTATTTCAAGCACTAGTTCCCCAGAATCGTCATCAGAATAATAAGCTTTGCTGTAAAACATATCTTAAGAATCTGGCCAACAAACTCCAGTCATTAACATCCTGAGCATGAATCCATGCAGTTGTTAAAGGATGACATGCAGAAAACCAAACCAGCGACCTAACCAATCCACCAAGTTACTTACATCGAATTAGTTGCAGTGTTCAGTTGAGAGTAAAGCAGTTATCCGAATTTGCGATACCAATTATTTGACTATGTAAGTATCGCCCCTTTATGAAAACAGCAACATATTCACATGAATATATCCCGGTTAGCATATTAAAGGTTTGCATGCGTTCACAAAGTATCAAAGTATTTAACTCGTCTTACCGTTTACAGGTCCAGTTGCCAGCGTGATAATCAACATGTTCGACTGTAGAACGTGTGTGGTGATGTCTGGTGTCTTGATGATGACTGGGTTTGCGACAAGTTTTCTGGTGACAGACATAAGATTCTTGTTTCTGACATTTTCCTTAGTAGCAGGTAAGTAACTTGTGTCATTAGGTTGTGCCATATTATCCGTGTACTCTGTGGTAATGTTAGTGGCAGGTTTGATTGTAGTGATACCGTGCAGTGCCATATTGAATGAGTTCTCAACGTACCATGTGTTAATGTTTGTAACAGGTGGGTGTTCTCTATCATCGTCTATTGTCATGTTAACTGTGTAATCTACGCCCAGTATCTATGCTTGTCACCAGATAGTAGTTATATAGAGCCATTGTATAATGTCATATTAACTGTATAATCTACGTCTGGTGTCTATGTTGTCAGGTGTAGGTGACCAGTGTTAATGTGTTGTGTCATGTTAACCGTGTAATGTACGTCTGGTGTCTATGTTGTCAGGTGTAGGTGACCAGTGTTATTGCATTGTGTCATGTTAACTGTGTAATCTACGTCTGGTGTCTATGTTGTCAGGTGTAGGTGACCAGTGTAATGTGTTGTGTCATATTAACTGTGTAATCTACATCTGGTGTCTATGTTGTCAGGTGTAGGTGACCAGTGTAAATGTGTTGTGTCATGTTAACTGTGTAATCTACGACTGGCGTCTATGTTGTCAGGTGTAGGTGACCAGTGTTAATGTGTTGTGTCATGTTAACTGTGTAATCTACGACTGGTGTCTATGTTGTCAGGTGTAGGTGACCAGTTTTATTGCATTGTGTCATGTTAACTGTGTAATCTACGTCTGGTGTCTATGTTGTCAGGTGTAGGTGACCAGTGTTAATGTGTTGTGTCATGTTAACTGTGTAATCTACGACTGGCGTCTATGTTGTCAGGTGTAGGTGACCAGTGTTAATGTGTTGTGTAATGTTAACTGTGTAATCTACGACTGGCGTCTATGTTGTCAGGTGTAGGTGACCAGTGTTAATGTGTTGTGTCATGTTAACTGTGTAATCTACGACTGGTGTCTATGTTGTCAGGTGTAGGTGACCAGTGTTATTGCATTGTGTAATGTTAACTGTGTAATGTACGTCTGGTGTCTATGTTGTCAGGTGTAGATGACCAGTTTTATTGCATTGTGTCATGTTAACTGTGTAATGTACGTCTGGTGTCTATGTTGTCAGGTGTAGGTGATCAGTGTTATTGCATTGTGTCATATTAAATGTGTAATGTACATCTGGTGTATGGTAAGTACCTTTGTTTAGTAGAGTTCACATTCAACCACACTTTTATTTTGTTCAGCAAAATTATTATTAAGGGTATGGACACCGTCTTGCTCTTTCAGTGTGACCTGTCTCCAATTGATAAACCAATTTTCGACTTGGAGGGTTTGATGTATAGGGACACAATGTACATGTATAGCAATATGTGCGTTACAGGCTGGATCTGAATGTACTTAGGGCTGTGCCATTATTCAAAGTAATTGCCTACAGTACATACATCAGAAATGATACATGGAATGTTTTGCTGAATATTATAGCTATGATGGACAGAATATCATTAAAACGCCCGCATGTTATCAGGAATGAGAGGGTCACTGTAACTTGATAATGCCCCTGAATTGCCTGACGACGGGCCATTATCACGCCCGATTATACACGAAAACCAGAAGTCATATTTTCTGGAATGACACCACTAACTTCCTATAGCTGCGTTTGATTGTCACAGGTTACTGGGATACATGTGGCTAACTCGGACAGTTCTAGAAGTAAATAAGTGATTGAGTATGGTTTTACGCCGTTTTAGCAATATTTCACCAATATGACGGCTGGGCACACCTTTAATGGGCTTCACAATGTGTATCCATGTTAAGAGTCGAACTCGGGGCTTTGGCGTGACGTGCCAATGCTTTAACTACTGCTGCTAACATTAACTTAACATTTGGGGAGTTGGGAGTAAAGCCCCATTGAACAGTACTCCAGTTACACCACGGGGCATCAGCTTAATCTGCAGCTGTGAGTACAGCCTGATGGGATACGGATCTCGGATGTTTATCACTTGGTTAAATCCATGAGTGCGGGCATGGTGTTGAAAATTCAAGAGCGATAATTCCGGAGAACCAATACTCGAAACCGTGGCATACACAAGGGAAGCAACTTTTCATCGGATTTAATGACGGGGCCACTTGCCCATTGATTATGGGGGAAAAAGTTTGTTTTCAAGTGATCTTTTGGGGATTTTGTTGTTTTAGCTGAATGATGTACATATGGAATCCTAGAAGGGACATTGTCGCTATGTCGCATTGTCGCGTTGTCAAAAACAAGTAAAGTGAGGCAAAATAAACCAAAACGCAACACGCAACATCGCGACAACGCGACATTTCGCCCATTTGTCGCGATGTCGCGTGTCGCGTTTTGAATCATATTTTTCTATTCCTCCAAAGGGCGACATGCGACACAGCGACAATTTTCAAGGTCAAAATATGTCGCGTTGTCGCGCGTCGCCCTATCTAAGATGTGTAAAAAGAAGCCTAAAAATCCACTAAAACGCGACACGCGACAATGCGACATATTATATATCGCATTGTCGCGTGTCGCGTTTTCGCCCTTTTCGATTACCGGCGCGCATGCGTAGAAAGTCAATGAGTCTACGCATGCGCAGGAAATATTATACTCTATTTCACACTTCAGTGGTCTTTTGTTACCTCCAATGGTTTTTACAATGAAGTAGTACGCGTAATGATAATGGGGGCTTCTTTTCTTGAACTTAATGGAAATCTTTCATTGTTGCTTTGAAAATTATTGTATATATTGTAAATGTATTTGGCCAATCAAGTGTGTTTTAGCAGCAAGACAAATTATTAGCGCTACTAATCATTGTAATCACGGCACACGGTGGCTCTGTCATTCAAGGCGGGGCAATTTGCTGTGCAGAGTTGTGTCTCTTAGTCACACCAGAAAACAATGATCATAGGTTCTAATCCCAGTACCATACACACTCATCACTTTGGACATTTCACCCATATCAAGGTCACAGGTTGTGAAAAAACTCAAATATTGTTAAAATTCAGGCCACATCGGGAGAAACATCAAGTGATGTCCACGAATGGGTCACTATGTTCCACAGTGTGGCTCCTCAGAGAGATTCTTGGTACAGTCCTGTCCGACGCTGATGAACTTGTTCAGCCAGCAGTGGATGGATACCAGGTAGAATGAGATGGTAATATCACTTAACCATCCAGCACCTCAAATACAGTTTTGGTCGACTTTGAACGTGATATTCTTCTTGGGAAAACGCCATACAAATGGAATGTTATGATTATGATTTTAAAAGCGGTCAAATCGCTTGGCAGAGTTGCGTACCCCATGGAGTGCCAGAAATCAACCCTCGCTCGCTCGCTCCTTCCCTCCCTCCCTCCCTCCACTCCACTCCCCGCTCCACTCACTCACTCACTCCACTCCACTCCACTCCACTCCACTCCACTCCGCTCCGCTCCCTCCGCCCACTCCACTCCACTCCACTCCACTCCACTCATCTCCACCCACCCACCCACTCCACCCACTCTACTCTACTCTACTCTTCTACTCTACTCTACTCTGCTCTACTCTGCCTCTCCTCTGCTCTAATCTACTCTAATCTACTCTACTCTACTCCACACCACTTCGCTCCACTCCACTCACGCACTCACTCACTCATTCCACTCCACTCCGCTCCCCTCACATACTCACTCATTCCGCTCCACTCCGCTCTACTCCACTCCGCATCCCCCCCAACTCCACTCCGCTCACTGACTCACTTCTCTCACTCACTCATTCCACTCCACTCCACTCCGCTTTATGACTCACTTCTCTCACTCACTCATTTCGCTCCGCTCCACTCCCCCCACTCACTCACTCCCCTCCCCGCTCCACTCACTCACTCACTCCGCTCCACTCCGCTCACTCACTCCGCTCACTCACTCCACTCCGCTCTACTCCACTCCGCTCCAATCCAATCCAATCCAATCCAATACAATCCAAACATCGAAAAGTAATCATGCTTGTGATAGTTTATAAAATCCGCCGTAACTAATAAAACGCGACACGCGACAATGCAACAACGCGACATTTTGATGAAATGTCGCGTTGTCGCGTCGCGTGTCGCGCTCTGTTAAAAAATATTGACTATAGTATGTATTATAACGTATTTGACTAAAACGCGACATCGCGACAATGCGACAACGCGACATTTTGATGAAATGTCGCGTTGTCGCGCGTCGCGTCGCGCTTTGTTAAAATATTGAGTATAGTATGTATTATAACGTATTTGACTAAAACGCGACACGCGACAATGCGACAACGCGACATTTTGATGAAATGTCGCGTTGTCGCGCGTCGCGTGTCGCGCTTTGTTAAAATATTGAGTATAGTATGTATTATAACGTATTTGACTGAAACTGCTACGCGCGACGCGACAATGCGACAACGCGACATTTTGATGAAATGTTGCGTTGTCGCATTGTCGCGCGTCGTGCTTTGTTAAAATATTGACTATAGTATGTATTATAACCACAGGGGTTCGAATCACTGTTTGGCCTCTCTTCGATAAACATCGACAGTTTCCGTGGATATTTTAATGACTCGGAAACAGAAAACGGCTCAGCCTGGTTCCCAGGGTCTGCTGCCCTAACGCTTCCACACTGAAAAAGCCATTTATTATCTAATTCTTTTCTTATGTATTATGAGGAAATAATTGATAAAGTTCAAACCATTGTTTTTTAACTGCGGGTGTGCTTGTAAAATTATCGGCTCTCAGTAACATAATACAGAAAAATATATTCCTTATCTTGAGTTACTTTGGTCCATATAATTTGTAATAAAATTAAACAGATCCTTCCATGTACACACTTTTTTTCGAAGAATGTTTTCTGAATCGGTTTGTAAAACAACATGAAAAGGTTTTACCAATATTATTCAGAAATGTTTATGATTAAAATAAACATGGGGAATCAAATGATCTGTACAGAAAACATTCATAATTATACTGCTGAATACAAAGAATTTGACCCACTATTTTACTAAAATGAATATATAAAAAATACACAGTATGATCATTATGCTAATACA